TGTTTTGTCCATGAAAAAATCCAATAGGGTGGATAATTGAACAAAGAACTTTGTCACCAATTAAGTCAAAAGAAGGTGGGACACCCCACAGAAGATATTTATGGTACGAAAAAAGTTCTTGAACAGAACACCCTTTACTGCATAACATGTACAGATCTTATAAATAACCAATGCACCAGTGTTTTAAGAGAGGGACAAGTCCATGGCTGTGTCTGTTCCTTTTCCTGTGGGATGCTAATTATGCAAGAGAATTAGTTTTCTGTCTGTCGCGTCCATTCTGGTCCGCCATACTGGTCCGCCATACTGGGGATGTGTGGCAGATGCAGTAGAAATGTGTTTTATTAAGCCACGGTTTGGGTGTTGTCTCAGCACGGCTGCAACCCTTCATTGCTAGCACCATCTAGTGGTAGCAGGTGTTAGTTCATAGTCATAGGTGTGTAGTGTCAGGGAGCCTCGTGGTGTTTATCGTTCTCGTAAAGCTTATGGAAACAAATTAAGCAGTTTTTGCAATGATGGAATCAACAGTCTGTGTATAAGAGACAGTATTTCTAAAGCTCTTGGAAAGTTAACGTTCATGCCGTATAACTCTGTGTTTTCCTTTCACTTCAGGACCGCAAGCTGACCAAGGCGGAGCAGCAGCGCTTCAAGGAGGAGGCGGAGATGCTGAAGGGGCTCCAGCACCCCAACATCGTCCGCTTCTATGATTCCTGGGAGTCAGCGCTCCGCGGCAAGAAGTGCATCGTACTGGTCACTGAACTCATGACTTCAGGAACACTTAAAACGTAAGACAAACCTCCTTATAACTATTTCTTCGGCTCCAGCTCACTGTGACATAAAATGGTATAATACCAATACACGTTTGACATGTTCAGACATGTCATGGCATCACCAAGCAGCAGCTAGTGTTTTTTAGTTTGACTACAAAACCCTGCTTTGTCTCTTTTTGACCAGATACCTGAAGCGCTTCAAGGTGATGAAACCCAAGGTCCTGAGGAGCTGGTGTCGGCAAATCCTTAAGGGCCTTCACTTCCTTCACACTAGGACTCCTCCGATAGTCCACCGGGACCTCAAGTGTGACAACATCTTCATAACAGGCCCCACAGGCTCGGTCAAGATAGGAGACCTGGGACTGGCCACTCTTATGCGGACCTCCTTTGCTAAGAGTGTCATTGGTAAGCTACAGAAATGGACCACGTACTTCCCTGAACAATGCAAGGAATTTAGTGGTTGTATAAGCAAACTACTGAGTCATGGCCTTTAAATGTATTTTTCCCTGCATTCAGCAATGTTACAGAGGCAATCATCGCCCTGGAGGTATTGATTATTCTTGACAGAGTCACTTTAAAATCCATGTGGGCGGCACTTAATGTAAACAGAGAGCACTGATGAGATGTTGTCTGTGTGAGCCAGCTTAAGCAATGCACCATGAGTACCATTTAGCTCAATGAAGTTTAACTCAGGAAGCAAAGGCAATCGCAGGAAGATTCTTATCAGAGTCTTCCTTCTTTCGTCGACTTTGGGGCATTAGTGCTCTGTGGACATTGAGTTGTGTGAGAGTAAATACAGATTGTAAAAGTGATAGAAGTGAAACAGTTTGAAGCATTTCAGCTCGTAATTGACTGGGAACCACTGTACCACAACAGGAACTCCGGAGTTCATGGCTCCAGAGATGTACGAGGAGCACTACGATGAGTCTGTGGATGTCTACGCCTTTGGGATGTGCATGCTGGAGATGGCCACTTCAGAGTACCCCTACTCTGAGTGCCAGAATGCTGCTCAGATCTATCGCAAAGTAACAAGTGTGAGTGCCTTTGACTGTCTTACTCTCATACAAACTCAGACATGACATGTGCATAAGCTCATAGTTTAGTTGTTTATTTAAATGTAACAAATGTCCTTTTTGATATTGAAAGCTTTTATTGAGGTACATATAGTCATATTTTGTTTTGTCAAAAAAATTACGAGTTATGAATATTGATTTCTTTCACAACATTTTGAGTTGAAATGATCTGAAATAAATCCTACACTTGAATCTAAATCTGCAAATAGTTTAATAATAATACTGTGTTGCATCTGTTTAGAAATCCATAATTTCCTGTGAAGTAATTGCACTTTTCTTTTCCTGCAGGGTATAAAGCCAGCCAGCTTTCATAAAGTGAAAGACCCAGAGATCAAAGAGATCATTGAATGCTGCATACGCCAGAATCAGAGCCAGAGGTAAACAGGCTTTGACTTTGATAACGTGACAGACTGCGCTGTCTCATCATGAAGAATTCCAGACTTGGATCATAAAACATGCTCGCGCCTCTTTCACCACTTTTGTTGTCTCTCCCTTGACAGGCTCTCTGTCCGAGACCTCCTGAACCACGCGTTCTTTGGGGAGGACACGGGGGTCCGGGTGGAGCTGGCAGAGGAGGACTCGGACACCCAGGACTGTCTGGCTCTCCGGATATGGGTGGAAGATCCTAAGAAGCTAAAGGGGAAGCACAAAGACAACGAGGCCATCGAGTTCAGCTATGACCTGGAGAACGACAGCGCTGAGGAAGTGGCTCTAGAGATGGTGAGACACATGGACAAATCAGACCTGACTAATAGAACCGGAGTGTATGTGAGGGCCCAGTGTGGGATAGGTAGACTGGGGAAAGGCTTTCATGCTTCAAAGCTTGCAGGAGGATCAGCTGAGGGAAATCCTTCAGCTCATTTATCAGCCATTCCAAGGCACCTCCTTCTGACCTAGATTCCCTCAGCCTACCTCTAGTCATTTATATATATATATCTCTCTCTCCCCCCCTCCCTCACTCTCTCCTTCCCGCTCTCTCACTCTCAGGTGAAGTCAGGATTCTTCCATGAGAGTGATGCCAAGGTTGTGGGTAAATCCATCCGGGATCGAGTTAATCTGATCAAAAAGTCACGAGAGCGCCGACAGCAGCAGCTCCTCCAGCAGCAGCAGCAGGAGCTAGAAGAAAAAAGAGACGCCGCTGTCACCTCCTGCAGCTTTTCTCATCCATCCTGCCCGTCCTCACTGGGGCCAGGGGCAGCTGGTCAGACCGGAGGAGGGCAGGAGTCAGAGGAGTCAGTGGACCAGCATGTCAGGCAGCAACACATTTTCAGTGGGACAGCCCTTGGTTTGCCAGGTAGAGTATGCCCCTTTTAAGATGAAATTAAATTGCCAGTTGTGCTTGCATGAGAAGGGCTGCACCTGATGTAATCTTCTTGACATTCAAAGTTTCTGTTTCTGAATAAAGATTTGAGTTTAAAAAATAAAATGTCTTTATATAAATCTTTAGTTTTAATTACTGGCACTTTCTTCAAATTTCTGGGGGGATTTTCGCCAGCAATTTAAAAATTCTTGAATCTGGCGATTGTTCCTTTTTTAAAGTGGATTTTGGTATGAAATTGAGGACTTCTTAATGGAGTGCCAAGCGAAGTATTTACATAAAAGTGTTTTTAATTAGTATATTAACCTTTTTTTGTTCTTGTGGTTATTAAATGTAATCACATTTGGCACTGTAACATTAGTGGAAGATCACCCTGTTGTGTGTGAATTTTGGAAATTATTACATCTATCTTTGTTTGGACTCAAATATAAAACCAATAATATTNTTCAAAAGGTCAACAATAAAGACCACAGATCTGAAGTGCTTTGTTGTTCGCACACATTTAAAAAAGCAGACTAGAACAGATGTTTGTGGCAAGTCTTAAAATACACACTGATTTAATGGGCCACTTTTCTCTACTGTAAAATGTTTTGATTTTGCACTTGTGCTTGATTCTTCAATATTGTATCATCAGCACACTACATGCTTATTCATAAGTACAATTTCCTGTTGACTTGATATTATATATAGTTTAAGACTTGCCACAAACATCTGTTCTAGTCTGCTTTTTTAAATGTGTGCGAACAACAAAGCACTTCAGATCTGTGGTCTTTATTGTTGACCTTTTGAACTGTGAGGAAATGTGTTCCCCTCGATTGTGCGGAAGAGTTTGAATTCAAGAAAAAGGTACAGTTCAATGCCATGTATTTACATTTATAAATCAGCTACCTTCAATTAGAAAAGGAAATAAAGGAAATAAAAATAAAGACTTTGTCTGACTCGATAATTGCCAGAGAGTCGGATGGCAGCCATTGTTATGTCACAAACAGACCCACCTATAAATAGAAATCATCCCAACATTGCACACTGGCTTTCCACTGATCGATTCTATTGATATTGAGCTTTTTGCTGCACACACAGCTCCCCAAAGGGAGGCGGTGTACTGCAGATGCTTGGCCACAAATAAACAGAGTTTCATGGAATGCAGTTTATCTGTTGCTACATCTATCTCCACGTGTTATGTATTATATTATATATTATGTGTCTAGCATACACTGGTTTTTGTTCCTCTGCTTCTCTTCCCCTGTGTCTGTTTTTTTATCTTCTCAGAAATCTTTTCCTCTCTGTCTCTATACTGGTAACAAGTGTCCTTTTTTGGAAGTAATCTCCTTCCCCTCTCAACAGGGACATAGCATCAACAAAAAGGCTGCTCCTCATTGTACTGTTAAGGCTAAGAATAAGTTACCCAGGCTATGTCGCTTCTCTCATTCCTTCAACACTAATAACTACCTCATGTTACTATTTGCATGTTTATTCATCTGTTGATAACCTGACTGTGTGCCGTAGAGATGACACTTCCTGTTTCAAATTTCGATCATCATTAAAACCTTTCGAAAAAGAATCTCATGATAACTAAAGTTCAGCATCAATGGAAGTAAGCAATACGCACCCAACAAATGTTAACAACAGTACCGTGATCATTCTAGTCACTATAATTATGATAGTAAATATGTATACGGTTTTATCTCTAGTTTGCAAATGTGTCTGATCATGCTCAATGCTGTCTGTCTCTATGGTATGTTTACCCGTATCTACATGTCTTGTTTTTTTGTATATCGTCAGGGACTACTGCCTGTGTAAGGGTGTTCCTGTCCTCCGTCTCGCTCCTCAGTCAGAGCGGCCGTCTGCCTCAGAGTCTGACAGAGTGCTGGTCTGTGTCCCTGCCTGCTGCATCCTCAGCATCTATCGTGTCTCCCCGAGTGTGGAGTCAGACAGCCCTTGGGTTGGTAAAAGGTCACAAAGAGTTCAGTTGTTCAGATTATGTCTAGACAGACTCACACAAACTAACTTCCCATTCAGCAAACTCTCACACGCACACCCATACAAAAAGAGGCGCAACAACAAAAAAAGTCCTCACTCCAAGTGCAAGTCTGCTAAAACACCCACACACAACTAGTGCTGCTAGGAGGCCTAATCATTTACTCAACTTTTTTTCAACAGCAACTCACAAAAACAGATCTGACAAACAAATTGTTATTTATTTCTTCACTTGAGATGAATTGAAATGATGAAGCAACAGAAAGACAAATAGGCATAGATCCTTCTTCTCCTGAATCAGCATGGTCAGCAACCTTATGAGGTAAACACCAGGATGCACAGCTACCCAAACTGATACTGACTCAGATCACTGGATAAGATATGAGGGAGATCCATTCAATTACATTTATATACTATACAGTATATACTTCCTGTTTAGCCACCCCTATTAACTAATGCGTATGTCTGAGGGGTTGATTGCTGATTGTAAAATGAATAATTACACCAGCCGCAACATCAAATTGTTAAAGGGTCGTTAAGTTTAGGGGCCAATGGGGGCCACTTGCCCACTTCCTACAGTTTCCTTTCAGCGACTTCGCTTAGACACGATCACCCAAATCGGTGTCGAATAGGGCATAGGGGACAAAGTGTGGGGGGCCAATGGCCACTTTGCCCCCCCCCTCCCTTTCTCTGGCTATGCCATCTTTACACTGGACCTTACATTTGACCTATACACATCTGTTGCCGTCACATCAAGTTTTGTTACGGCATGATACACAGTAAAGCTATTGTTGTCACACACACGGTAAAATAAATACCTATGTTGCTGGGCAGCTGACAAATATGATGCAACCCAAGAATGAGTCAGAGCTATGTTGATTCTGCGTTTTTTTGTAACTGTAGCTGGTGGTTTGTTGTGTCAGACTGCACTTTAGTGATACGTTCTTTCTTAACTTGCCACTAGCCACAGTTAGTAGATAAACTACCATGATCCCTTCACCACCTTTGAGACAGCCTCACAAACATAGAACATTAGACAGTTCACAAATGCAGTACTTCCTGCGGGTTATTATCACACAATATGTGTCGGGTGTTTCTGTGATTTATCCACACCTGCATGTCAGTTGGTCATGTGATGCTGGCACCTCCTTTACAGGGACCTGAGCACTGTAACTTGTAAGACCTGTTAGTGTACCATGTGATTTTTATGGATCAGACATCTACCAATGCAAAAGGTCAAGCTTCAGGTTAAGTAGCTTCATAAAGCACCAGGTAAATGGACAGGATATGGCTTACAGGGCACATGTGATGGGTGGTTAAGAAGCTGGGGTCATGAATGCCAAAGCATGTGAGCCCTAAAACATCTATTTTGGCAAACACAGCATGAGTGTCAGATATCATACCGACTGAAGATGAACTGGCTTCCCTGGTTACATTCTTGTCTGAAAGGTCTGAACTTGCCTCAGTTAGAGTTGGATACAAAAAATGCTATTTTAGGGCAATATAAACACAAAGGAATGCATAAATATTGTTCTACGTAGTCATGTGTAAATGAATGAGTACATTTATAGTTTGCATGACTCTGTAGTGTGGGAATAAGCACGTCGGTGCTTGAAAATCGGGTGTTGGCGGTTAGCTAGGAATAGATTACTGTAAGCTACAACAGCTCACACTAACAAGATAGATTGCTGTAAAAGGGCTGGCCCACACGCCAGATTAGAACCCCAGGCTATTGGGCCAAGTTCATTAACTTTCACAGATAAATCAGACTGCAGATTCACTGCACTGCCTTTCTTTTTATGTGACCTCTTGTTAGCAGGAGGTAAACTTCATATTTCCATGTACTGAATTCTGCTCCTCATACTGTATGTGCAAAGGTCTTTTTTTAATTGACATCAACGCTACCTTATAAATCTTAGTCAGAGTTCTTCCCTTTCTTAACCTCTTCCCTTAGATAATCATCATCATGTCATAATATTGTGATCATAAGTGATTCAGATGTATTGATTACCACATGACACTTGCATTGACTGCTGGGCTAATTAGATTCTGTCTCAAACATTCAATAGCAATTGAATCTCCTCTGTGGGTTACGTAATGGGGATACATCCCGAGGGATATTTGCCAACCGTCGATGCCGCGGTTGAGCCATGTGTCTGGTCAGTTTGGTTGGATCAATCCCATCCGGGTCTACCCAGTTCAGCTATGGTCCATTTCATTTTGACTCTCCCAATTTCGATCAGCCATCAATAGTCTGTCTTTGCTCTACCTGGCCCAGATCAAATGGCATTTGTATCAGGAAGAACGATGACCAGAAAAAATACCTTTTTGTAATACTTACATTTTCTATTTTTATTTTTTTTGCAAATGATATTTTTCTCTAGAATAATTTCAACGCTTTATTATCAAGGTTTAGGAATATGGACAATATTTTTAACATGAGACAAGCAGCTGTCAAAGTCCAGAAACAATCCTGTTTATCCTGAAGTCAACTGTCAGTCCAGGGGTCTCGACTCTATACAGATGAACAAAAGGTCTGGACTCTATTTCACAGGGACTGCACACTGCACTATAATGTTGATACAACCATATAAGTGCTCTGATGGCCTTAGTACGGATGAGCCTTTTTACTGAGAAACATGGCACGGTGATTGTAGCAGGCAACATCCTTAACTGGCATTCATCTGCATATCATAAATACAAAAGGCTCTAAAACAATACAACAAAATTACAAAACATTTCAATACTTAAAAGGTGGGGTAGGTAATTTTGGAGAAACCAGCTTGAGTGTGCAAGAATTTGAAAATACACAACCGGATCAAATCTGCCTCTTCCTTACAGAGCCCCTCCTCCAACACACACGAACGCGCACATGACCAATGAGGGCACGAGATAAGTTTGTGCACAGATGGAAGGCTGACAGGCAGGTAGGCCATCCAGTTACTTTAGCCGGGCCGGCTAAAATGATTGGTCGTGCTTTTTACAGTACTACGTTTTCCACAGATGACATTTTTTATGGATTTTTTGTCAAAGCACTTAAGATATTCATTGCTATCGGATGTTAAGAGCATTCCATGGAATATAACAAAACGTGTATCTCGAGCCGGTTTCTCAAACTTACCTACCCCACCTTTAAGTATCGATATATTATATATCGATTATATACAGTGTCTTTCATAACTACAAAAAATAAAAACATTTGTATGTGTACATGTATACAACATGTACACATACAAATGTTTGTATTTTTTGTAGTTCATTAATTAGTTAAAGCAATTCTGCATGCACATCATTTTCTAAAATAAAAAACAAATGTTAATTCCTTTGGGCAGATATCACAAAAAGTCTTATGATGCAGGATGTATCATGGACTTCAATAAATGCAGATGCCACTCTTCTGATTGTCTAAACATTTTTTTATTTGTTCTTTATACTATGATATTATTCCTAAAACAATTGCAATATATCTCCTCTCTTATAGTATTGTGATATATTCTTAAGCCCTGTATCTCGATACATGACGTAATTTTTGCCAATACACAGTCCTAACAACAATGCATGGTAAAACAAATATTTTAAGTGGTATTCATCAGCGCCGCAGACTCGACCGCTGCCCTCGTGTGTGAAGTCCTGCGAGAGAGGCGAGTTGGACCAGTCTGGGATGACTGGGTTGAACCGGTCTGGTTTCTGCCGCCCGAGTTGTGCTGCCTGTGCAGGGTTTTTGTTCCAGCCTTACAGGCACCCCCTGTATTTAACTCCCTGGATCACTCTGCATGCTCACTCACACAGACAAAAAGTGATGGAGGGAGGGAGGGTGAGAGAGGAAGGGAGACAGGGTGACAGGCAGACACATACAGTGGCATATGTTGACACAGATGGACAGCTTGCACACAGGAATGTAATACATGTCCAAGACACATACAAACACATTCACTGAGGTAGACGGACGGTAAAGTACACGCCTGAAGCCGTAACAGGGGAGATATATGGCTGCCCTTTCAGGTGTGGCATTCACAGGGAAACAGGCAGGAAAGGAGAGAGATGTAGCCGCACTGTGAACTTAAATTACATTACATTACATGTTACTTGTTAGACGCTTTTATCCAAAGCGAATTACATACTCAATACTGTGGACAATCCCCACAGGATTGTCCACTCAATACTGTGGACAATCCCCACAGGAGCAATTTGGGGTAAAGTGACCTGTGACCCCCTGATCCCAACACCAAGGCTCTATCCACTGCGCCACATGCCTCCCAATTACACAATCTTTCAAGCTGCATTTGGACCAATAATCCCCCCGGCTTCCTTCTCTTTGGTGACACAGGAGAAGAAGAGCGACGTGCTCACCGGCTGCAGTCTCAGAGGACAGTGGATAAAGCATTAAGTAGTGCATCGGCTCATCATGTACAGGCCTGTGTTTCACCATTAAGCACTGAGCAGACTGTTCTTGCATTATGAAACATTCAGTACTCCAGTGCATGTTGTTGACTTTTAGACAATAAACCAAAGCGTAATATAATTAATTGTCTGACATGGTATAGACCGAAGGATCATTTGATAATTCTTGAAGATAAATGGCAGCTAATCAAAAATGAATTTAATCATTAGGTGCAGCCCTAATTGGAATACATCCACTGAGTGTGTGTTGTTGAACAGCAGGACAAATAAATGCTTACATTAAGCACACCATCATATATAACTGTTCCTATTGTCGTGACTTTTGTCCACTCTAGTGCCACTTAGCATTTAACCCGTGTAGGACAGATCACGTGATCCGAGTGACTAGAATGTTGCACCGTATGTGGAGCTGGATCAATCTATAGGCTTGTGGCCAGGCCACTGTGTCGTGTGTGTGTATGTATGTATGTATGTATGTATGTATGTGTGAGGACTGGTGCCTCTCAGCGTTAGCTACACAACTGCTCTCTGGGTGGATGCCATGGTAATTCTCTCTCTCTCTCT